GAGAAATTGCATTAAAAAATAATCGCAGTTCTGCAGAAGAGATTCAAAGAAAATTTGTTGGTGTCAGTGGTGTTGAAATGTCAGTTAAAACAATTCGCAAAAATTTGCATGAACTTGTGATGTTTTAATAAAATTTTGGTTTTTAGAAATTTTTGATCATTTTTTATATTTTTTATATTAATTGAACTTCGTTTTTTTTTGGTTAAAAAATTATTATAAATAGCAGAATTGTGAAAGATTGTATACATATTCGTTAGAACCTAAGCTACATGATGATATTTTCAAAATTTTTTATTATTATGTAAAAGTTTGCGGAATTAATAAAAATCGAGGTTCGGATACTTTCTTCCAGGCAGTGTATGTCTGATTTTTAATGTAAATTTAGTAACAATTAATTTTGCTTTGACCTATATGTAAAAAACAATGCTTTGAGTGAAAAAAAAGTGTGTATATATGTTTTTATCTAATGCATGAATTATCCTTAATTTTGCTCGAATTGATGGTAAAATTTATTTGAAGCTTCATATAAATATTTTTATGAAGTTGTGTGCTACTCCTATTAAAATCTATTGCTCTGTAACAACACCAATTCAATTTGATCTCTGAATATTTAGATTGAAAATAACAAGCCAATTGTTTTCCCATAATGTTTAATAGATTAAAATAATTTATTTTCATTTCTACTAAATGTTTAAAAGTATGAATTTGATGCTTATAGACAGTATTTTCACATAAAGTATAACCTGTTTCATAAAACCTTAGAATAATTCTATCTATAAAAAGTCCATAATGTTCTTCAATTAATTCTTCAAAAATCTCAACAAATTTATCAACATTATTACTAGCATTTTGTACTAACAAATCAATCCTTACATCTTCAACTGGAATTTGAAAGTAATCTAATTCTAACTCCAATTCTTTTCTTGTGACATGATGATAAAAAAACTGAGAGCTGTTGTTATTGTTATTGTTACGATTATAATCATTATTATTATTAGTAGCATTGGTATTATTATTATTACTGTTGTTGTTATTATTATTATTAATTTCTTTTGGCCAATTTATTGTTCCTGTTCGATAAAATTCCATGATATAATGAAATGCATAACCATTACGATCAAAAAAATATTCATTATTATTGATTGGATGAAGTAAATCTTTATTTCTTTCTTGAAACATTGTTCCTAATAATGTATCAGGATATGCTGTAAGTGTTGAACGAAACATTTGGTACTGTTAAATAAATGAGTAAATTTATTTATATACAAAGTTAATAATGATAATGATCAATATATTATATATGACCAACCCTCACACCACCAACAACCAATACAATAATTTCTTGTTCTTTAGATTTGCTTGTCATTTTTATGAAATGTGTTTTAATTTTTTATCATTAGTATTTGATGCTGATCAATCATTTTACAAAATTTTTGTGTCCACCATAAAAAACATGTATAAAATTGCTTTGGAACACAAATATTTAAAAATTAATTTTTTTGCATACAAAGGCTAATCTGACCTTGTCTCTGATAATGGATGATGTCAGGAGGGCATGGCTCTAGAGTTATTAAGTGTATTGTTGTCAAAGGCCTCTCACTTGTACAAAGCCTACTAACGTGTTGGAGTTCTCTCACTTATTGAAGGGATTTTCTATAGTAATGAGGAATGCATTGCAATCAATTCGCATTTTCGTAAAAGGAGAATCTGACACCTATGATCAACATCAGACTTATTTTTATTTTTTTTTGGAGATGATTTACTACTTGTATTAGCATAGTGGAATTTTGTTTTTGATCGACATTCGAAATTATCACGTTACACGACCTACACAATCTTTATTATACGGAAAATACAAAATAATTTAATTGTCATTATTTAGAATCTGGACTTTGCTCTTAGATGGAAAAGAAAAAATTATAATAAGATTATACTGGCATT